GGCACTGTCTTAACTTCAGGTAGAATGATTGGAGGGAAGACAGAAGGGATCCTGTTACCTGTACCATCAGCCAGCTAGTGGTCTGTGTGTCTGTACATGCAGGGGAGGAAACATGAGTGCAGTTTTAACCATCACCTCAAACAGAGCAGAATGTAAAAAGACTTTCAGTATTTTGGTAAGCCTGAGATAAATCTGTGCCAAAACAAGCAGTTTAAAGTGATGGCGTTTACACAGGAGTCACCACCTCCACCACACATGTTAGCTGTGCTGCCTTTGAGAAAAGAATGTGACCTGGGGGGATTTCAAGGCGCCACGTGCATCTCCGTCCAGCCGTTGAACGTGATTGGGTTTGGTGTATTTAACATAAAGCGTGGACATAAGTTTTTCTGCAAGTATCTACACAGATGCCAGAACTTTCCAATCCCACTTAATCTCCTTAGACGTTCCAGTGCATGTACAAAGCCCCCTGGTGTCCAAGGGCCCAGAGTCACGGAAGACAGTGGCTTCTCCTGGAAATCTAACACAAAGGGAGTAACAAGGAGAGTTGGGGGTTACACTGATAAGTCAGAGGCCACATCTTTCCAGTCGTCCAGGGCTGTTTATAGCCTTGGAGACCTCGGTCAGCTGTGCCTCAGTTCTGACTCAGCACCAGCAGCCCAGCCCACCAGCCATGGAGCCGGCTGCCGACCTCATTGCTGCAGGGCCCCTAGGGCAATGGAAGGAAAGGTTTACCAGTTTTCAGACCTACCAGCCCCTCCTTGGGAGAAAGACAGGCATTCTCCTGTGAAGATTTACAGCCTCAGAAACTCACACGTCAGAAGCGACTCGAGCATTGTGTCTGAGTTTGTGTTCTTTCTCTTACTTGTAAGTTCTTGGGTGAATGGACCCAAATGTATCTTCAAAAATCCCACCATCTGTGATCTTGTTCGTCCTCGGAACACGGGGCCATTAGCTTGCCGCAAAGGCAGTGCCTGATGTGGTTCAGTGGTTTACAGCGCCCACAGACTGACTGAACAGGGTGACCATGGCGCTGCTGGGCAGCTCTCAGCACGCTTGTTTCAACATCTGTATAAAAACTGCAGGGTGTGTGTTGTCTTTGAGGGTCACGTGTGCTGAGTCAAAGTTAACTTGAGTTCATCATTTTGGAGGCATTTTTTCACTGTGATCTTTTGACAGGCCAGTGGCCTGAACCCTGGTGGGGGGACCCTGTTAGGCTTCCCATCATACCCACTGCTGTTGTGTGGGTTCTGACTCACAGTGATTCTCCAGAGTGGAGTACAGCCGCCTCGTAGGGATGTCAGGGCTGACACCTCTGCAGGAGAAGGCGTCCATATTGTTCCCCTGCGGATCACCTATCGGGTTTGAACCCAAACCAGAGCCTGTAGACAACTCCTTAGGTTCCCAGCACTCGACATCTGAGAGCTGAACGATGACTAAGGGTGACGGAAGAAGAGATGATGCCTTTGAACTGTGGTGGTGAAGAGTGCTGAAGGAAGATCCATCCCATGGACTGCGAATGGGACAGATAAGTCCTGGAGAAAGTGCGGCCAGAGTGCTCCTTGGAGGCAAAGATGAAGTGTCGTCACACATACTTCGAGCATGCTGTTAGGAGAGGCTGTTCCTTGGAGCCTGGACATCATGCTTGGGAAGGTGGAGGGAGGGTGAACAACAGGAAGACCCTCACCGAGGCGGATTACGCCGTGGCTACAGCACCTTGCTTGAGTGTGTCCGAGGTGATGAGGATGGCACAGGATACGACAGGGTTCATTCAGGTCTGCTGATCTCAGGGTCGCTGTGATGCAGACTCAGCAGCTCCTAGCAACAGCAGCAGCATCTTAACCGAAGCGGATGGCCTTGTCGTTCTCCCAGAGTGACTGATGGGTTAGAGCCGCAGAGTCTTCTGTTAGCCATTGCATGTTTTGACCACAGAACCACCAGAACTCCTTTTTAAAACTTCCTTTACCAAAAACCAAACCCTCCAAGTCTGTTCATAGCAGCCTCTGTTGGGGTTCTGAGGCTGTAAATCATTACCAACAATTCTGTGGAGAAAATAATGGTTTCAAACCTCTGAACTTTTCCATTGTTATGTACCGTCACCTGTGACCTATAGTGACCTTCTTGACAACAGCTCTGAAGCCTGCCCTGTCCTGAGCCAGTCTGACACTGACATACCTACCCCCATTGCCCCAGTTACTGTGTCAGTCTGTCTCATCTGGGGTCTTCCTCTCCTCTGCCATTCCTCCACCCTTCCCAGCATGATGTCATTCTCCTAAGGACCAGTCCCTCCTAGCCATGTGCCCAACATGTGAGATAGAGCTTCAAAATCCTAGCCTCCAAGGAGACCCTTGGTTTTCACCCTCTCCAAGACAGATCTGTTTGTCGTCCTGGCAATCCATGGTCTGGTCAAGACTCTTCTCCAGGACCACAACTCAGAGGCCTTGATTCTTCTGTCATCCTTAGTAACTTTCCATAGCTGGTCTCAATGTCATGGGTAACTGTACTTCCAGAAGGCTCTAAGTGACCTGTAGGCAGATGATCTTTGTCTGAGATTGTGTGCATTACCTCACACTCTCCCATGCATGTTAAACAGGTAAAGCATCTGTGCATGAACTTGACCAGTAAGAACTTTGCAAAAGCGTCTCGTGTTGTCATTGCTGACACTCCGGTTTCCTTGTCATGGGGTCCCGATTGGTGAGGGTCCACAGCCCCCTCCACAGCCGTGATCGGATCTTTGGCGTTCGTTTTCTTACAGACTGCCGGTTCTCTCCTGAGCACACGTGTTTTGTTCTGCTTACTGGTGGGGTGTTTTTATTTTAAGAGTTAGGTGAATCTGAGAAAAGACTTCAGGCCTGATTTGGAACCTTGTCTGTTCTGCATTACAGCGCACCACTGTGGAAATTGGTTAATAGCATTAATAGCACCTTTTTCTGTGTGCATTATCCTCTTTGGTCTCAAGAGGTGGCATTTTCTGATTCAGGCCATCCTGGGTGTGGGGTTAGCCCATTCAGTCAGGAATCTTCGTTGGTTGACTCGGTCACATAGGAAGAAAAGTCCGCCTCAGCCTCAGCACCCCACCTGCATCCCCCAGGCCCCCCCCTCAGCCTCCACACCCCCCAGATCCCCTCAGCCTCAGAAACCCCACCCCCCAGGCCCCCTCCACTCCAGCTTTGCCCAGTGTGTGTGTCATTGCTGGCTGGTGAGTATTCCTTTTGGAGCTGTGCTTGTTATTGGAACATTTGACTTCGGGGCTGGTTTTTCCGTCTCTGGTAGTACCCTTGGAACCAAAATTGAGGGAGATGCTAGCTTTATTTTATGCTTCCTAACAGCCATTTTGTGGTGGTGGTTTTTTTTTTTAAAGCACGCCTTGCCAACAGGAAGTGAAAGACGCCCAGGTTGTTCTATTTTAATACAATTGAAGACTTGAAAATGTCTGACCTTGTTTCTCTGTGAACTTGAGCTTTCTTTAAACTGTGGACTTGGGACTGGGGGGAAATGTTCTTGAAATTCTGGGAAATTGTGTCCCTCCTCTTTCTATGAGTTGTCTCAGCTCAAGAGCCTTTAAGATGTCCAGGAAATCTTGAAGGTTTCGGGGGAAATGTGTCCTAACGGTCAGCTTGGGTCTCGGGGTGGAGTTAATGTAGGTGTGTGCTTCATACAGCCCTTGGGAGCCTGGATGGTGGGTTCCTGGTGAGCTGGGTGTGAGTGTGACCAGCCTGAGTCAGGAGTAACTCCGGAACCACGTCTGTCTGGAATTTTACTTGAAAAATGGCCAGAGTAGCAAGACTGAACACGAAATCTTTAAGAGGTGCTTTGTGCTTTTAGCTTTTTCCTTTGTGACCGTTTATAACAGCCAAACAGGAATGTTTTTCATATGTAGATAAATCTGGCTTTCTTGAAAGAAGTTTGCTTATTTTGTGTTGTTGCAAACAAGCAAACAGCTATGTCTCCAGAGTCCTCCCATCAGCACCAGAAGAATCCCCGCGTGTTTTCCCTCCTCCTCCTGTGGTTAGATGCCGTCACGCCAGCTATGACTCCAAGTGACCCTATGACCAATCAGTCAATCTGAACACTGTGCTTTCTGGCCATCCTTACAATCTCCAACACACTCAAGCCCTTTACCACAGTCACCGTGTCCACCTGTCTGATTGAGGGTCTTCCACTCTCGCTACCTATCCCTTTACCTTCCCAAGCATGATGTCCCTCTCCAAGGAGTAACTTCTTCTAGAAATGTGCCCAAAGCATGTGAGACAAGGCTTTCCTCAGCTTTGCCTGCAATTCTATCCCTTGTCTCAGTATGTCTTCAACTGTTTGCATTCGGAGAGTGTGCTCCATTTTTACTCATCATATTTCTTCACTTTAGGAACAATTTCCATGTTTCCACCATCTTCATAATCACCCTTTTGCATTGCTGCATACTATTCTGATCGTCTGTCTTCTGGAAGTCCCGGCCACCCGTTTCTGTCCTCACTCTTTGGGCTGTTTGTCATGTTGCTGTAAACACTCTGGTGTCTAGATCCTTGTCTCTTCTCTGCACTCCCTAGGCGGGTCTGTTCTCAGGAAGTGAGGTGACCAGGTGGGAGGATGGGAGATTCTTGCCCTGAAGTGCCGTCTGTGTTCTCTGTGTGCAGCCAGCTTCACTGCTGCCCCCAGAGCCTGCCTCATGCAGCTGCTAGTCTGAAGCGAAATGGGGTACGGGAAAGTACATTTAGGGCTGTCGGAGCGTTTTTTGTAAGAAAACAGCTCAGCCTTTATGTGACTTGATTGCTTTACGGGAGCAGCGAGGCTAAGAATTAGAATCCAAACTGTGTGCGCACACTGGGGCTCTGGCCACTGCTTCCCAGTGAGAGAGAGAGAGTGAGTGAGTGTGTGTGTGTGTGTGTGTGTGTGTGTGTGTATACACGTGCTGTGTCCAGTTTACTCACTGAAGAATAAGTTGTACTAGAGGAAAGGGCATTCAGCTCAGTCTGACTTCATCTCGCCTCTCTCCCTTTCAGATCAATGTGCGGGTCACCACCATGGACGCGGAGCTGGAGTTCGCCATCCAGCCCAACACCACTGGGAAGCAGCTCTTCGACCAGGTCAGTGCCGGTGAACCCCAGAGAATGACCCCTGAGGAGATAGTTTTTGCTGCAACCACGTCATTTTTCTTTGCTAAACTGATCCTCTTGGTTGCCGCTGTTCTGTCCCCGTGCCATGTGGTTCCGTCTCGTGGGTGGGTGCAGGCTGCTGGCGACCCCTGGGGTCAGAACTGCCCCAGAGGATGTCCAGTGGCTGGTTTTAGGAAGCGGTTCACCGGGCCTTTCCTGTGAGTCCCCTCACATCTCCAGCTCCTGCTTTCCTGGTAGCGGCCCAGGGCGTTCACCCCACAGGCCTCTCTTGGTGCTGAGGAGTACCAGTATGAGCGTGTACTGCCCAGGGCACGGGAGCCCTGCTGGAGGAGCATGTAAATATCACACCGCTGACCCAGAGGTCGGGAGTTCAAATCCACCAGCTGCTCTACAGGATAAAGATGGACCATCTGGTCCCCTCCATAAAGATGTACAGCTTTGGAAGGCCAGTGAAGAGTTACGTTGTGTCAGAAGTGCTTTGACAGTGGGTTTGGCCTGTTGTACAATATCAAGTGAAATAAGGGTCTGGCAGATACAGAAGCAAAGTGATTGGAGAAGGAGTTTGATTGGCTATCACTTCAAGGGGCAGAAAGTTCCTGAACCCCAAACCACATGCACAAAGGACCTCTGGATCCAAGAGAATCTCCTCAGCCCTTTCCCTTCAAGGGCCCACAGGGGGGCTGGGCTGCCTCGGTTAACCACCTTCGGCGCAGGGTGGGGTGGACCTGGGCCTCGTGGAGTGCCTTCCATCTCTAACTGGCCAGACTGGAACAGCAACAAAGGCAACAGATGAGGATTCAAGGCAAATGTTTTTAAACCAGAAGGTTAAATGAAACATGATTGATTTTGAATGTGAATTTTTTTTACTATTTAAAATATTTTTCTTTTTTGTGGTTAAATGTATCTTTTCCTCCTTACTAGTAAGCACTCCATATCTTCACTTCTAAATTTTCTTTTTTCCCAGTGAACAACTAGAAAACCACTCATGTTCCTATTTTGGCTTAATTTTTGGTATTTTGCATCACAAGCCAACAAATTATTCTTTTTTAAAGCGCTGAATGCTAAACACATCAGTGTGGCCACACAACTCCGGTTCCTGTCACAGCTGCTTGACCTCACCCACTGTCACTCAGAAGTGGCCATGAACAATCCGTCAGTGACGTGCATGGCTGCGTGCCATTCTGTGTTTGTCGACACTTGTGTTTTCATGTCATTCCCCCCCCCCCCATTGGTTAAAACATAAACACTCCTTCCCATGGGCTGTGAAAATGATCCTTGGCTGGACGTGGCCCGTGGGCCTGAGCTGGGACCCCTGTGTCATGCTGGCCGATGTGGTCGGTCGATCGTGGGACAGTGGACAGTGATGCCCACATGCCCTGCAGTTTCTCCACAGCCCGGGGCTCCACTCTCTGCCTTCTCTTCACACTTCTGAAGCATTTCCTGTGTCTCTTCACAAAATGCTTTGTGTTGGTGCCATGGGCTGATCTCACCAAAGGATGCTTGGGTTTGCTAAATGGTTCCCCCGATGTGTTTTAGACACCTCAGCTGGAAATGGGGTGCAGCCGCTAAGCGTTCCCTGTGGTTATGTTTATGTAAGAACCGTGGTTCTTCACCCCTTCCTGTCTGGTTAGCTCAGGGACAGAGGGGTGCTGCCAGGAGGGTGTGGGACCCAGACTCCCTCGGCATTGGTGGGAGCTCCCCTCCCTGGGCTTCCTGGGCACATGTAGACATTCCTGAGGTGTCTTCTGGAAGCATGAGGGCTAGCAAAGGGCTCCCCTTGGGAGGCTGTGGGACACTCTCAGGGAGCGTCCCCAGCTCTGCTGATGGTGACAACTCCTTCTCTGGTGACATCTTCTCTGGTCAAGTTTGTTGGGCTCTGGGGCCAGGGGGCCAGGCGGAAGCAGGCTAGGCAGCCACAAGCCAATAGGCTGTTTAGATCTGGTCTCCTGGCCCCACTGTTGGGAGGAGCAGGGCTCATCTGGTGCCCAATCCAGAGCCAGGGTGACACCTCGGAGGCCTCTAAGGTGAGTTAGCAGTGGTCCCTGCCTGGCACCTCCCATAAGGAGCCTTAGCTGGCCAGTCCCCAGGCTGCAGGCCAAACCCCACCAGCCAGCCTGAGAGAGGGCACCCTGTGCTCACAGCTCAGGTGGGCACGGGCCAGCAGCCATCACCCAGAGCCTCCAGCTCAACCACTGCCTTAACCAAAGCCCCTGACCCTGGGAAAGCCTCCCCTGTGCCTGCTCTGGGTCAGGCTGGTGTGAGGTCCGCCCGTACTGCAGTCCGGCTGGAGGTTACTGTATCCGCTGGACGGAGCACACCATGGTTGGGAACACTCGACTGGGCAGGGGGCATGGAATGTGGCATGAACGCAGGTGTCCATTCTGGGCACCAGGACTCTCCTCTGTGGACAGTGACAGGTCTTCCTGGGCTCATCTTTTTCTTTTATATTTTTATTTTTATTATTTTGTGTGCATGTACCATCAAATCAGATCTGACCGGTACAGGAGGATATTGCTCCTCCTTCTCCGGCAGAGCATCTGGTGGATTCGAACCGTGTACCTCTAGGATTGCAGTGTAGCTTCTTGCCACTAGGCCACCAGAATCTTTTTCTTTTTTAAATGGGATGGAAACCATGTTAGAATAAGAAAGAAAAGCTCAGAACTCAAACTCTGCTTTTGAGTGAAGCTGACCCCGTCAGTGGGTTTTCAAGGCTGTAAATCACATGGTAGGAGATTCTCTGTCTCTGAGAGCAGCTTGTGTATTTGAACCACCAGAGAGCTGCTTGCTGCCTTTGGATTTTAACCATGCAGGCTGCACCACCAGGACTCCCCTGAAAAAGAAGAGTTACATGTGTTTGCTGGCTTCCTTGTTTCACTTTCCTCACCTCCACTTTCCATACTCTCTCCTCCTCTTGCTGTTTAGAGATTGGGTGAAGGGGCTTTTGAAGGAACTTGTGGTGTTTTGGCAGAAAAGTGTGTGTAGAGTTGTATCTTACACGATCACTCCTCTTGCTGGACCCTCGAAGGGGTGGACTGGGGGCAGAGCTGAGGAGATCCCCTTGGATCCAGAAGTCCTTTGTGCATGTGGTTTGGGTTTCAGGAACTTTTCTGCCTTTTACTTACTGGGTGTTGAGCATATCCTTACCCCAGATTCTCTGGATTCTGGGGCACCAGTGAGAGCCCACGTGTTCCTAAAACTGTTTAGTTGGTGTCTCTGGTTTCAAGACATGTGTTTTGTCATCTTAGGGGATCCGCTCACCTTTCGGATGGGCTTGTGGATTGGCAGCTATGGAACCCTCACTTAGTGCACCCCAAACTTTCCAGTAATTGAAGTCGATTCCAGGTGTCTCTGGGGCAAAGGTGGGGGAGTAGCTCTCACTCGATCCGGGTCCACGATCCGGGTCCCTGTGGCCGGCAGGCTGCTCCCGCCCCGGAAGAAAGGGAAGGAGCCGGCTTCCCGGGAATGTTAACTCATCCCTTTGCGGGAAGACTTCACAGCACTAGCTGGAAGCACTCACTTACCAGCCAGAAGGCTGTTGGTGTGAACACACAGGTACCCTTAGAAGCAGACCTGGCAGTCACCTGTGAAAGGTCCCAGCCTTGAAATCCAGAGGAGCCCTTCCCCCTGAGGAGGGGGAGTGGGGACTTGAACTCTGGAATCACCTGTAGAATGTTCCGTCAGCCGCCGTGAAGGAGCTGGCCGTCGGCCCTGGAACGAGATGGCGACGATGAGCTGTGGCCTGCAAATCAGGACGAGGCTGGGAGGGTGGAAGTGGGAAGCCCACTGGGCGGGAAGTCATTCCCAGCAGGAAGGAGCCTGCGAAGCTGCAGCCGTGGATGAAGCTGAGTCACACAGGCGCAGATGTGCGCAGGGCCTTGTTTTGTGGGGAGAGAGGAATCCGCAGGGCTCGATCCTGACACCTCCCTGGTCCTGGGATTCAGCTTTGTGGGCCCTCCGAGCCCACGGCCGTGGAGTTGAAGGGCAGCACTACAGGACAGGGTCAGCCTGCCCCCAGGTTCCCCGAGGACTGTGCCCTCCACAGACACAGGCTGTGACTGCTTATCAAGGGCCAGCTGGTGGGTTCGAACTGCCAGCCTTTTTGTTAGCAGCTCACTGCTTAAACCCTGTGCCACCAGGGCTCTTTTCTCAAAACTGGCCCACTATAAAAACAAAGGCAGAGTTATACAAAAGACTTTGGAGCCAAGTTACAGCTGTGTGCAGAGCCAGATTTATTTTTTTTCCCCCTTTGTCTCTGTGAAGCTGCAGCGTGATTCGTTTTTTCCTTTCCTCTCTTGGGGACACTGTTGGGTGGTGGGGTGGTGGGTTGAATGGTCAGTCTTCCACATTTAACGATTTGATCAGTCTCTGGCCCCAGGGGATGAGGGAACCTGTCTCCTCAGGAGTGAATTTGGAGTTTCAGGTTTTACTTTAAGCTCAGCCGCCCGAAGGTCATTCCTAGGACAGCCGGTCCTCACGAGGAAAGAAAGCCTGTCCTTGAAGATTGGTAGCTTGCGGGTGGAGGTTTGACTTTATACATCATGGGGTTGAAAGTTAAACATCAGCCCTGGCACTGGGTCTTGTTTGTTCAGCCAGTGACCCTCGAAGGGGTGACAGTGCTGGCGCCCCAGCTTCGCCAGAGTGGATTGCACGTGACCTTCACAGGGTCCACCGTCCCGGCTCCAGGGCCACGGCTGACTTTTCTAGAACTGTGGAGAACATTCACTTGGTGCACTTAGAAGTGCCTGGAGATTACGCTGCAATTCTTTCCTTCCCCGTACAGGCAGGCATGCCTCGGAGGTTCTGGGGGTTCATTCCAGAACTCGACAATAAGGCGAATGTTAAAATGAGTGAATTTGGGGGTTCCCAGTGCACATGAAAGTTAGGTCTCTTCTATATCATAGTGACTTTAGTGTACAATAGTGTTATGAAAAAGCTTGCAATCGTATGAGAATGAAGAATTGTAACACAGAGACACCAAAGGTGAGCATTTGCTGTTGGAAAAAATGACGCTGGCAGATAATTGCTCGAGAGGGAAGGTTCCCTTCAGTTGATTACCAAAAAATGCCTTATCTGCAAAGTTCAATAGAGCAAAATACAATAACATGAGGAATGCACGTTCCAGAGTCTGACCACTGTGGGTGTTTGTCTCTCCTCCTTCTCTCAGGTGGTTAAGACCATTGGCCTTCGGGAAGTGTGGTACTTTGGCCTCCAGTACGTGGATAATAAAGGATTTCCTACTTGGTTGAAACTTGATAAAAAGGTAAACCGGGGTTAACTATTGACAGACTGTTCCCTGGGTGTTGGTCCACCCCGCTGACATCGAAACCCGAGCTCCCGAGCCCTGTCTTAATGTTTTGTTCTTTTTCGTTTGTGTAAAAGTTTGAACAGACAAAGTTCACAGGCTTCTCGTAAGCGGGGATATTGTTCAGGAATTAGATCCTGGTATTACTCCTTCTGCTGAGCTCTTAGTGGAACATAGTTTCTTGGGGTTCCCCCCCCCCCCCGTGAGATTGTTAATCTTCTAAATCATGAATCACCCAGTGTTTTGTGAGAGCCTGTCACTGCTTTGTCTGAACCTGTGACAGATAATCTTCTGATTATAAAGGCAGGGTCATTCCCTGTCGCAATTCTAGCCAACAGCAAGAAGCTAAGTGCTTATTGCAGTCTTTCCCAAACCCCTGCCTCTATCCCCATCACAACCCCCAGTCAGAGCGAGTGGGCGTGTGGAGAGAGTGGGGAATGTCCAGAAGTGGGGATCAGGGTCCAGGGCCCAACTCTAGTCACCTGGAAAGACTCCCAAGTTCTCAGATGCCAGGTGAGGTTGGTTCAGCATTTGAGAAAGTGCGGGCTGAGCCCTCTTTTGTGTTTGCACTAAAGAGACAATAGAATCTTCTGAAAACGGACGTTCGGGGCCCCACGAGGTCAGGCACTTGTGGGTGGGAAGCCAGGGCCTGGTCTGCTGAGCTTGTCCTAGCGTTTGGTGTCTGTCTGTGGCCCAGGTGTCCGCCCAGGAGCTCAAAAAGGAGAACCCCCTCCAGTTCAAGTTCCGCGCCAAGTTCTACCCGGAAGATGTGTCAGAGGAGCTCATCCAGGACATCACCCAGAAGCTCTTCTTCCTCCAAGTGAAGGACGGCATTCTGAGTGACGAGATCTACTGCTCGCCTGAGACGGCTGTGCTCCTGGGCTCCTACGCCGTGCAGGCCAAGTTTGGAGACTACAACAAAGAGAACCACAAGTCCGGGTACCTCAGCTCCGAGCGCCTGATCCCCCAGAGGTGAGCAGAACGCCGCCCTCGCAACACGAGGGGGCCTGGCAGGAGCAGCAGGGACAGAGCGCACTGCACCCGTCCAAGCCGCACACCGCTTTGGGCTGGGCTCCTCTCTCCTGAGCCAGTGGACTCCAGCACTCTGGATGTCAGGAGGGGCTGGTCAAGCCCTTAGCCTCTGACAGAGGACCCAGAATGTTCTAGTGACAAACATACCCAGGGAAGCCGCTGTGCACTGTGGGGGACAGCTTCGTGCCATCAAGCTGAGACCCTGCTCTCCTCGCACATGAGGGTCTGATCCTAGTCAAGCCAGATTTTGTCCATGAATGGTCAGTCACACAAATGGCTCCTGTTAGGGCAAAGTAAGGGAGTTCTGATGGCCTAATAGTAAGGAGCTGCATTGCCAGCCCCAAGGACTGTGGTTCGAATCCACTAGCTGCTTTGGAGAGGGAGGGCAGTCTCCTCTCATGTGATTTACTGCATCTGAATACCCGCTGGAGGGTCAGCTCTGGGTCATTTCCGACTCTGTGGTACACAGCAACAACAGGGCAAAGGAAAACCACGTTGCCGTCAGGCTGAGGGGTTACAGGGCTGATTTTTCGCACAGCTTCCAGATCTTTCTAGGTGCCACATCCTTCTCCTTCAGGGCAGCTGTTGGGTTCAAACCACCCACCTTCCAGCAGCGCAGTACTTAACCCGCAGTGCTACCAGGCCACCTCCTTTTGGAAGAGTCCCCCTTTAAATGAAATACTTGTACATTTTTTTTTATAAATTTATTTAAACAGGACTGGCATCTGCCTTGTTTGGGTTCTAAACCTCTTGGGCTACATGGACATCAGTAGAAGCCTGTTAGGAAGTGGAGGCCAAACTCCGTGGGGCCGTTGGTGGAGGGAGCGGCTGTACCCTCCACCGACGGTGGGGTGGCGGGCACCCTCCTGACGCCCGAGCTCTGCTTCTCCCCCAGGGTGATGGACCAGCACAAGCTCACTCGGGACCAGTGGGAGGACCGCATCCAGGTGTGGCACGCCGAGCACCGCGGGATGCTCAGGTGAGCGCAGCGTGGCCCCCGAGGTGCGGCCAGATGTGACTTCTGCCACGTGACAGTAGTCAAGGCTCGAGAGCTGGCTGCCCCCGGCTTCGTGTGTGTGTGTGTGTGTGTGTGTGTGTGTGTGTGTGTGTGTGTGTGTGTGTGTGTGAACCTGTCAGCCTCCGGCTTCCTGTGACATGGGGTGTGTGTGTGTGTGCCTGTCAGCCTCTGGCTTCCTGTGACATGACGTGTGTGTGTATGTGTGTGTGTGTATGTGTGTGTGAGAGAGAGAGAGACCAGCACCCCACTTCCTGCCATGTGACTCTGGTCAGGCCTTGGGCGGCTAGCTCTAGGGTGTTTCCAACTCCTGTTTTCCTGTCACGTGGACTTTAGCGAGGCAGGGATGACCAGAACCTATGGACCAGTCCTCCCTGCCTGACCAAGTGCTAAAAATCAAAGAATGGCTTCTTTTTAGCTTAAACAAGAGTTAAGAAGATGTTTTATTTAAGCTTTCTGGTTTCACAGGGCTCTCCTTGTTTTAGGAGAGGTCGGACGGTAGAAGCATTCATTTTCAGGCCAGTTGGGGCCCTGCTGACAAATGACCAGGGCTGCCTTCTCTGTCGAAGTTGAGGCAGGTCTGGTTGTTGCAGTCACCCTCAAAAGTAGGCACCAACTGAAAAAATAATTGCCCTGTAGTGAGAACTTTGGTGTGAAAGCCCCAGAGTGGAGCATGAGGAGGGGCCCCGAGGGGAGAAACCCTGACTTCCTGGTGGTGGTCGAGCATTGTGCTCACACCCTCAAGCGTGGGCCGCTGTTGGGGCCTCAGTGACAGTTTGTCTTAGAGTTTCCTGTCTGACGCAGGCAGGCTTTGTGGATGGGGACTGAGCACAGTGACAGTCAAGGGGTTGCAGGAGCCCTCGCAGCACATACAGTCTTGGCACCTCATGGCATTCCACACGTGATGTGTCTGCAGAGAACCCCGTGTGGGAACCGTAACATGAGCCAGAACCAGGGTGCTGGGCCCTGTGCTGGCCCCCAGGTCTGCTGTCCCTGGCCACTGTCAGCCACCAGGCCCCGAACTGTCAGAAGAGAGCAGCTGTGATCACAGCTGTGATCCCAGCCCTTCCTACACCTCTTGTTTGGGGGAAAAAAAATAATAAAACAATAAACCAGAACTGTTCCAGTAATACTTTTGTGCTTTCAGTGAAAGTTTGCACGTGGGTTCAAGGTCCCTCCCATTCACCAGTATCTGTACAGGTCACTTGTGATCTTGGTGACGTTTGTCACATCTCAAGGGCAGTCTTGTCATTTCCATTCTGTGGCTCTGGCTCCACTCTTCTGGTTCCCCTACCGCCTTGCCTTTTAGTTTTGCCCAAAGAGCGCCACTAATAACCCTTCCCGTCTGGCCCCCCTTTAGAGACAGCGCCATGCTGGAGTACCTGAAGATCGCGCAGGACCTAGAGATGTATGGCATCAACTATTTCGAGATAAAGAACAAGAAAGGCACAGACCTTTGGCTCGGAGTGGACGCCCTTGGGCTGAACATTTACGAGAAAGAAGACAAGTGAGTTCATACGTCTTAATTCACTTTCTTCAGTGGGATGGGGGCCTGGTGAGCACAGGCAGACACGGGATGTTTTGAGGGTTACTCTGGTTTTTGTTTGTTTCGTTTTTTGTCGACCTTTTTTTTTATCGTTTTATTTTTTGTGTATACCGTCAAATCGGATCTGACTGGTACGGAGAAGATTGCCCCTCCTTCTCCAGCAGAACATCTGGTGGATTCGAACCACATACCTCTGGGATTGCAGTGCAGCTTCTTGCCACTAGGCCACCAGAGCTCCATCGACTTTTTTTTATTAATTTTAATGAAATTTACAGAGACTTAGGGTTTCCAACCATTCGTTGTTGCACTTTTCTTCCTACCCCCCCACTCCCCCAATTCACTCTTCTCTTTGAAAAGTAAAATTCTTTCATTGTTATACAATCCCTCCTCCCAAGTCCACTCCACTGTGCAGCCTTCGTTCTAGACTCCTGTCATGTTGTTTGTTTTAATTTGTTGTGTGCCATTGAATTGGCTCTGACTAGCACAGGAGGAGATTGCCCCTCCTTCTCCAGTGGAGCATCTGGTGGATTTGAACTGCATGCCTTTGGGATTGCAGCACAGCTTCTTGTCACTAGACCACCAGAGCTCCCACAAGAGATTTACTCTTTGAAGCAAGCTGAGCACCTGACTTGTGTCTCTGAGGTATCTGCTGTGGGCAGGCCCTGTGGGCAGTGGGCCCGGGCGGGGTCATTTCCTCCTGTCACCTGGTCAGCACCATGTATAGCATGATGGGAAGTGCCTCCTTCGGGCCTGGCTGGAGGAGCATGCTCAGGGCCTCACAGACACTGAAGTGGATGTAGGGGTGGGAGAAGGGCTGCTGTCGTGCGGAAACGTCCCTGCCCTTCCGGGGGGCCCAGGTCTTGAGCCTGAGGCTTCTGGCCAGACCAGGCCCTGTGCTAGGAGCTTGTGTGACCTCAGCAGGAGTTTGTGTGGTGTTCCCAGGAAGCATTCTTTGAACAGCAGCCTTCATGTGCAGACAGTTGGACTCAATCCTGTGAACCTGCAGAACAAAGGAATCTCCTCTCCAGTTTGTGGAGAGCGGCTTGTGAGGGACGAAATACTGGGGTGGGGTGAGGCCGGGCAGGGCTCCCCGCCTACTTTCCTCCCCTGCCCATCCTCGGTCGCAGGCTGCCAAGCCACTGGGTAACCAGTGATCTGTGGGTCCATGGGTGGGGCCAGCACTTGTGCCCCAGGAGCTTTTTGGTCAGTTTTTCTTTTCAGCCATCTCACCCGGGTTTTTTTTTCCCCGAGTGGACTGGGACCTCTATAACCTTTCACTTAGCAGCCATACACTGCACCACCCAGGGCTCCACACAGGATGATGCACCCACACAGAGTCCCCCTGATTTGGGGAGGGCATAGAAGGCTTCACTGGCTGGGTGCTCCTTTCAGAGGAGAAAGCCTTAATTCTAGACATTGCCATTGAGAAACTTCCTGGATCAGAGAGGCACTTGGGGAAGGATGGGACCCCTTAGTGTCTCTGCCCTGAGTGTCTAGCATTTGACTCTGAAGCGCTCCCCTAAATGTCCTGTGGAGGCAGCCGGGGATAGAGCTGCCTCCTGGGCTGTGGACGCTGGCAGTGGGGCCTCTGCAGCTGCAGGCCGGGCCATGCATGGTGCACTTCCTGTAGGCAGCTGCCGCCCCCGCTTCCTGCCAGGCCCCACCCTCTCGTCTCCTCCTGTCTCCTCTCCTATAATATACTCACGTCTCCCACGGCCCAAGCTCCCAGGCACCCACTCTGGGGAATGAATACAGGGAGTGGCACTCCTCTTGACCAATGAGGTGCCCCTGAAGGATCTGTCACTTGTCCTTGACGAGTGCATTCTTGCTGGGCTTGAAGCTCAGAGCCGTTTCATTCCGGCAGGGCGGGGCCCCTCGTCAGAGATGGCTGGTGCCACCACCACATGCCTGAGTGGTGACACTGGGTGCCCGTGGACGGCTGCCAGGTCCACAGGACCCAAGGGCCCGCCACCAAGGTCTCTACTGAGAGGAGTGGCTGTGTTTGCTCATTGGGTCCCTAGTGTGGTGGCCTCTGTTCTGCTGACCATTCTCCTAGGGTCTCTGCAGGGAATTAGTCCTCTGGGTCACTCCTGCTGACCCCGTGGGTGCTCCATGTGGTTCAAGGCCATGGCCTTTCAGAAGCAGAGCTCCAAGGCTGTTTTCTAAAGGGCCTGTGTGTGGATTTGAACAGCCAACCTTTAAGTTAGTAGTGCAGCCCTTCACTGTCCACCCAGGGACATGGGGACTTCTACCACAGACATGGACTTCCCCCAAAGACCTGGGTTGGCACAGGGAGATGTGTGTTCTGGGAAATGCCACAACTCTCAACTCTGATTCTGGATCCTTCCTCGAAGCCCAGGCTGTAAGAAAGGACAGCGCACAAATCAGCACTCACCATGCCCTGTGGAGCCCGCCTCAGTCTCTGAACCAGTTTCTTGAAGGGCCAGGTTTTGTGACACGGCCAAGGCCAAGTCCAAACAGGTTTTTCCAGGCTGCAAGTAGCAGCCCCAGGCAGCAGCCTGCTGATGTCAGCTCCCAGCTGCCCCCCAGCCCACGTCCACACTCATTTTTTCCAAGACAGACCAGAGCCAGCGCCCCAGTTAGCCCTCAGCCCCCTGCTCGCCCAGAGCTGTGGGACTGGCCGTTCTCTCGGCTTTCTCCCCAGAGAGAAGGCAGGATGCGGAGAAGCTGTCTCCCCTGCCCCCTTCCTCTCTCTTCCGCTGGAGGCACAGCCCTTTCCAGTTACGAGGGCTCAGCCCGCCCTCCAGCTGGTAGCAGGCCAAGTGCATTCCCTTCACGGGGCACCAGGCTCCTCCCAGCATAACCAGGAGACAGGGCGCGTTGCTGCCGGTGCACTGAGACCCTTCAGCCTTGCTTGGTGTTCTCATCCGTCATTAATCACAGGGCTAAGAGGAGAGAGGCACTGCTGACGCCTGGCTCAGTTAAGAAACCCGAGACAATGAGTGTGTGAGTGAGTGTGAAGAACTGGGACACCCTGCAAATGAGCACACCGTGATTGTACCCGGGAGGCATGTCCTCGGAGGGGGGAAGCCTCTCCGGTCCCTGCTACAGTTACAGCGGGAGCCTGGAACATCGAAAGCGGTTATCTTTCTGTAGACCCTCCAGTCATCAGAGGAAGAAGAATTGGAAGACTAACGTCGAGCAGAGCAGCGCTGCCCCCAGGGTCTCTGAGGCCATCTTAATGGTGCTGGCAGCCGCATCTGTCTTCTCCTTGGAGCTGCTGGTGGACTGGAACTATCGAACTTTCTGTTTGCAGTCCAGTGTTTAATGGACCATACCAGAGGGACTAGGATAGGAAAATACCTTCCCCAGCAGATGGGGGAAAGTGAGCAGAGCACCCTCATATTCTTTAGTCCTTTAAATCCCCCCATGTCAAGCTTCCTGGATATCCTCCTTTGTAGAACTAATTGCTTCTTTAGTTAGGAGATGCTGATTCTTCCTCAGGCTCCTGCAGGCCCTCTCTGATTAGCCCTTCAAGGAACTGCCAGGTACCATCACCTTGATACCGACTCATAGTTGACTCTCCAGTGGGTTTTCAGAGGCTTTCAGAGCAAGGAAACACTGCATGGTTCAAAATCAGGAAGGGAGCACATCTGGGATGCGTCCTGTCTCCATACATTTTAAATCGATATGGAGAACAGATCATTCAGGAGGCCGAGCTTTATGAGGAGAAATGAGGCATCAGGATTGGAGGAAAATCGTCCGTAACCTAGATCATCAGTATCACACAGATGACAGAACCCGGCTCGCTGAAACTGAGGAAGACCTGAAGCGCTTGCTGCAGAAGGTCGAGGACTGTAGTCTTCAATATGGTTTGAAGCTCAACTTCAAGAAAAAAAAAGATTCTCACCACTGGGCCAATTGGCAGCACCTAAAAAGGTAAAGAGGAGATTGAGGTTGTTAACAGTTACAGCTTGCTAGACTCTACAATCAACACCCTTGGAACCAGCAGTCAGAAAATCAAAAGACGAATTGTACTAGGTAAATCTGCTATCAGGGACCTATCCATAGTACTGAGAAACGAAGTCAGTCTAGAGACTAAGGTGATCCAGGCCATGGTCTTCACAGTTACTTGTTATGCATCAGAAAGCTGGACAGTGACCAAGGATGACAAGAAGAATCGATGCCTTTGAGCTGTGGTGCTGGAGAAGAGACTTAAACATACCATGGACACTCAAGAAAACAAATAGGTGTGTCTTAGAGAGGGTGAAACAAAATTTCTCCTTGGAGGCTAGAATTTTGAAGCTCCATCTTCCTTACTTGGGGCAAGTGGCCAGAAGGGACCAATTTTTGGAGAAGGACATCATGCTCAGTAGGGTAGAGGGACAATGCAGGAGAGGAAGACCTCAGATGAGATGGATTGAATAACTGAAGCAATGGGGGTATGTGTGTTGGTGTCAGAGAGACTGGCTCAGGACAGGGCAGGCTTCAGAGCTGCTGTATGTAGGGTCACTATGAGTTGCAGGAGACTTGACGGCACACAACAACAAATTGTATGGGAAGAAATAGTTCATCTTTCTCCCTCATAGCAGATCTAGTGAGGACCCCAAACTCTGAGTGCTCCTTGACTTGGCCCAGAACTTTCTAGAATTATCTAGCGCATTCCTGCTCCAGCCCCCCAAACCCCCATTCTTCTAGAGAACAGTGTGGTTCCTGCTGCTGTGGAATCCCACCTTCTTAAAGTGTGGCTCGGCTGAGGACCGACCTATGGGCCTCTCAGCGGTCATCTCTCTTGTTCACATCTCCCACGAGAACCTTTATTTCACAAGAAAGGCCAAAGAGCGATCCTTGTATCCTCAGTGACCCCTCGAAGGCCCGGAAGGAAGCTCTTGTGCTCGGCAGTGAGCAGTGAGACACGTCCGTGGGGCTGGCCCTCCTCTCACCGTCCTCAGGGGATGAATGGCCGTGGAGGTCTCACAGTTTTGAAGAGTGCACAAGAGGCATCTCTGCTGATGCTTGTTCCTCACGTGCAGAGTTTTGGTCATCCAGAGTCAAGGACACTTGTTGGTGTCACTGGGCCAGGACATCCTGGGCTCTATTCTAGACTTGAACAAGTCACAACTCCTCAGAACCTACATCCTCACCTGGCAGAACAGACCCCCCTGCATGTGTGTGTACCCCGAAGTTCACTAGCTCAGTGTGTCTGACTCAGGACTGGGGCTCCTCTGGGACCCTCTCCCACAATTCCAACTCCTCACAACCCCTGAGGACCGAGGAGAACTGCTCTGTAGGGTGTCCAAGATGTTAAGTGCCTCGTCTTTTCCCTGTGGGGCAGGTGACAGGTTTGAACTGCCGACCCAACAGATAACCAACCCGCTGTGAGGGGTCGATTCTGACTCATGGTGACTGCAGGCCTCGGGGGATCAGACTACACCATGGTTTCTTAAGAAGCAGGTGCCAGGCCTTTTCTTACCAGGCCCTCAAGTGGACAGGGAGACAGGTGGGCACAACACTGCATTCAGAGGCAGACGTGATTCTAGAAGGCTCTCAGATACTCTGGAACTTGAGGAGCGGGTGTTGGCATTTTTTGGAATAGAGGAGTAAATTGATTCCTGACAAGCAGAGCGATGCAGACTCTGGATGCAAGCATATTTAGGCCCCTGGTCATAGGAGAACTGAGATTGTAGATGGTGCAAAGTACAGCTCGGAGGAATGTTCCAGGCTCAGAAGGTCATGCTTGGCCAGGAATCATAGTTGACATTAAGATTCCAAATCCAGCGACTAGAAGCAGGGAGTGAGTCGGGCAGGAGGGCAGATGTGAATGGGGTAGATCAGGGCACCAGGATTTACAGCTTTAATCTTACAAATTGCTGAACCCAAGACTGGGGGCGGGCTGCTTCACCAGACCACTCGTTACACAGCGTGTGTGCCTCAGGAATTGGCTTCCCTGGACTGAAAATCAGAATAGTGGTCACTTAGGCAGCACCTAGACTAAAAGTGGAAGACTACAGAAAAGATTAGCGTTGGCCACTGTGTGACGATGACACACACATTCGTGACGTGTTCATGCTTTTAGCAGTGAACACTGCAGTGGAATAGGTGGAGGAAAGGATTGTGTGAAAGAAACAGGTGCTTAGACTTTCTGTGTATGACAACAATCGGAGCATGAGGTGAATCATGACATGAAGGAGCAATGGATATCTATGAGTGAATTGACAGCCCATCCTTTCTGTAAACTTTCTAAAAAATTATAAAAGTAAGCAAAATAAGGCAGAAAGAAAAATCAGAATAGATTTCCAGCCCTCTCTTGCTCCGCCCGTGTGTGTGTGTGTGTGTTTGTGCTTTCTGACCTCCCTGTTCCCATTTTTAACCTCAGGTTGACCCCAAAGATTGGCTTTCCTTGGAGTGAAATCAGAAACATCTCTTTCAACGACAAGAAGTTTGTCATTAAGCCCATTGACAAGAAGGCCCCGGTGAGTTCACATGGACTCTTGTTTCCTGGGTCTCATCCTTCTGACTAAGAATTTTCGGGGTGACACTCAAATTTCTGTCTGTGACAAATTGTCAATGACGGTCAGACTGACGCCTCCACGTGGACCAAGAACTGCCGACTTCTGGCCTTGGGGTGGACCCACGATGTGAGTGGCCACCAGGGGGGTCTCGTGGAAACCAGGCCCCATAACAACTGACAGACTCCTGCCGTATATTTCATTGACCTGCATTTCATCTGAAGGAAGGGGCACTTCCTTTGGCCAGGTGAAAAGCTTGTCCCAACACAGCTTTTCTGACCTGACATGAGGTCTATGAAAGGGTCAGGCTCGTGGAGCCCAACTGCAAGTGACTACCTGGTCGAGGGGCTCTGGCAACCCCCACCCCACCACACACACTCTCCCCCCACCCCCCCACCCCCCAAGAGCTGTCCTTCCCAATGATAGGTCAGCTCCAAGCAGCCCACCTGTGACTGGGCCCCAGCCTTCCATGTCCCCTGTACGCCCGTTCACAGACACCAGTCTCACTTTGCTCTGGTCTCACACTGCCCCTTCATAGGGCATCTACCCTGGCTCATCACATAGATGCTGATGGGGGGACCAGGCTAGGAGGCCACTGTCTGTGAGTGCTCAACTTAGAAGGCCTCTCCTTGGGGCCTGGGCTCCAAGAGCATTGACAGTTAGCCAGTAGCTGAATGAAGGATGTTTGTTTGGTTTTATAGTTCATTCTGCTCGGAGGTGAACTTCCAGCTCTGCTTTGCTAAGAACCTATAAGGCAGGTGGACTTGCAGCCACATGGAACGGCTGAGGATTGGCATTTCTGATCCAAAGACCAGTTCTTGGAAAATTAGCCCTTGAAGAAACTCTGGTACCCTCTTTACAGCAGAATTACAGAGTAAAAAAGACTGTGCGTGCGTAGAACTGGTTCCCTGGCTACAGCTCGGAGCTGAGAAAGGCAGCCCCAGCCCGTGGTCTGCTCCGTGGGTATCTGTTAAGCGGGTGCCTGGGCCTGGCACCGCCCCCAGATGGCACACACACTCCCAGGAGTCGGAGGCATTGTTGGCCGGTCGCTGCATCCACATCTGGGTCAGCCCAGCCAGTTCAGACCCAGCAGGTCGTGACGTTTGTACAAGTATTTTCTTCTTTATTGAAAACGTTTCCTGCTGTTTGTGAACCCTTGACTTCTGCTCCATGGGGTGCTGTAGTTATTTCGGATTAAACTCTTAGTTAATGCAGGCTTCCAAGCTCCATGGCAACAGTCACACTAACATGCAGCTGCTCGAGCTGAGGGTCAGAGTGGACCCAGGTTCTGAGAGGCCGTGGACTTGGGGGCCCTTGGCAGAGCGAGGCCATCCGAGACCCCCTTGGACAGCTGCTAAGTGTTTGTGCCATGTTATTAATTACACAGAAGTTTCTGTTTTAGAAAATTTAAGGACTTACAGCAAACACAGGAATTATAACTTAGACTCTTTCAGAACTTAGGTCTTTCTTTTTAATTTGACCTTAAGTTTAGCTTTTGAAAAGTCTTATTTCATGAGTATAAAATTCCAGGCAAAAGCATTCATGATGCATTTGAATTAGAATGGAACATGACATCATGCTTGGAATGGTTGAAGGCCAGAGCCAAAGAGAGAAACCCTGAATGAGCTGGATTTTCACAGAGACTCTGACAGTGGGATCAGGGGTGCAGGGGATGGTGAGGGGGCTCGGGACAGGGTGAGGTCTAGAGCCGTTGTTCATAGGGTCACTATGAATCGTGGACTCAACAGCACCTAACAACAACATGTCCACTGTGTTGTGTAGAGCTGTATCTTGGCAAGGAGAAGAATAAACTATGTTTCTTAGCTGGGGTTGTATCCTCTGTGTTGGCAACGCCTCCTGTGGTGCTGGCAGAGCCCCTATGTCCTAGTGGACGTGATGGCCCAAAGGCAAGTGAGGTGAACAGTCAGTTCAAAAGGCACAGTCAGTGTTTTAGTGATAAGAGAAGGTTGATGGGCAGCTGCGATGACTTTAGGTTAGTGCTTGGGCCGCCCTGAGTCCTGGTGGATGAGGGAGGATGTGGGGAGCCAGGAGAGGCCCCAGTTCCTGGGGGACACTGGCGTCTGGCTGCCCACCTTCCCCTCCGCTCCCATACCTTCCTTCCAACACTGCCCTCCTGCCTTCTAACCTTGGACATCGGGAAGTCAAAGTTTAAACTTCCACCTACAGATAGACAGCTCCAAAGGTCAGCTTGCATTCTCAGGAGATAAGGGGGTTCTGGCCCTTATCTGGTGCTGACACAGCTCCCAGCCTGCCCCTCTCCTCGGCGTTTGGGGCACCAACAAGTGAGCCATTGTTCCTGTCCCCCAGCAGTGTTCCCTCCACAGCCAGTTTCTCATCCCTGTCACACTCAGGCCAGGACCTGACCCTTCGAGGGGACCCTGAACGCCACGATGGCCAAGACCTGTCCAGCCCGAGGTCACAGAAGGCTCTCTTCTCCCTTCAGAAAAGGCCCGTGGCCGAGGCTCTGGAGGCAGAAGCTTAGGGCTGGGACACTGAGCAGCTTCTAAATGTTGAAACGTAAACATACAATGAATGTGACCAGTTTCTGGAGCCTCATGTGACCCCTTCAAGGCGGGCCTCCACAGTGTCCCCCACCCCTTGTCCTGGGGGGCACTCCACCCCTGGGGACTTGATCATTCTGGGGGGCGGGGTGGGGGCGACACTATTCAGTTCCCCATAGTCCCGCACTTTGTTGACTCTCAGGCTCCGTTTCTCTGGAAGGTCCTTTCTGTGTCCTGAGGGCCTTGGCTTCGCTTTTCCTGAATGTTCCTCAGGCCTAGAGTCCACCTTACAGGACCCTGGTCCACTGCCTGACTGGACAAGTAGACCCTGTCTTTGCCAGTGTCCAGTTTTGCCTTATGAAGCATAGGTAGGGACAGTTAAAAGGAAGATCAAATGTTGAGGTTTTAACTTAAAAGTCCAGTGTCCTTCCAAGGGCCTCCAGGAAGCCACTCCCACCTCATGCCCCCCCATCACCCGATTGCACCCCAGTCTCTGCCCAGTTCTCAGGATTTTGTCTCCCAGTAAAGTGTCCAGTGGAGCCTCTTGTTGGAGTGGGTCTTCCTACAGACCTGCTGTGAACAGTCCCTCTTTCGTTATTTTTTAATTGATATTTTTCTGAATGGGAATTGGCAACGATCAGGGTTTCTTTCCAAGTGCCGATGAGTCATGGACGAGACGTGTTTGTGTAGCATGACTGTGAGGCCCTGAGACAAGGCTGTATCTCTTGTGTAATAAGAGACAAGTGAGTAATAAAAATACCTGCTTCTCCCAGCTCCTCGGGCCCCTCCCTGGAAACCCAGTGGCTCATAACAAGTGTGTGAAACCCCACAGGTAGCCTCACCTTTGGGAGCTCAAGGGCTCGGGGGCCAGAGGAAAGGACAGGGAGGCCCGGGGATCGTCAGGGCAGGAGGATCGGTTCCAGGCGTCACCCACAGGCACGGAGCACCGCTTCTGTGCAACCGTCCTCCCCATCAAAATGTGGGGACATGGGTGAGCAGAGGAAAGGAGACAAGAAGAGCAGGCAGTTACAAAGACACCCCTCATTCCAGAGCTCGGTGCCACGTGCCCTGTCGCTGAGACCTGCTCTCTGTGTCTGGGAGAGATGGGCCCCCCAGGACCTGAGTGTGTGTGGTCACTCAGCTTCAAAGTGTCCAGTGCCGCAAAGCCACCTTCTTCCAGAAGGCAGCACTGTTCATGGCTTTGAGAGGCAGTTAACAAGCTTGGAGCCGCCAGGCTGTGCACCAGCCAGCTTCCTCTGCTGCAGACAGCACACTCTGATTTAGTCCAGCAGTTGCGTTGGACGAACAGCAATCCTTGCAGTAGAGGCTCGGCTCCGAGGAAAGGGCCCCTGGTTCCCACATGTTGGCCCAGTCCCCGGGTGGGGTGCCGAGGTGAACACACAGCCCTGTGCTCCCCAGGGCACCTGTGGTTTAAAGGAGACAGGTGCTGGGCAGCAGGGCCCATGGTGCTGTGGAGCATGATCCACCAAGAGCTGGTTATCGGGGATGTGTGGCCCCGAGATGGTGCCCATCCTCCCCCGTACTAGGGGCAGGAGGCCTTAGGTGTGCGGGTCGCAGGATGACCACGCCTAGGAGTGGACATGCGTAGAGTCTCGGGGGTCAGGCTTGTTTAGGTGGAGAGGTGTAGGTTGGGGCCCGGGCAGGACTGTGTGTGATGGCCACGGAGCTGGGCCCGGCCCGGGGTTCTGGAGGACCGTCAACAGATACGATGCTGCGGGGTGAGGCAGCCCAGGCTGGGATGGGACTAGGAGAACCTTCGCCACGCACAGTCATAGGTGTTCACGCACACATTGGCACACTCAAAAGATCACATGCAGGCACAGGCATTCACGCACACCACATTGGCACACTCACTCTAGGCCACCTGCACAGTCACAGGCGTTCATGCACACATTTGCACGCTCACACAGGACCACCTGCTTGCACACTTAAATATGCCGGCACTGGCTCCCACGTGCTCACTGGGGCACACAGGCCCCTCACACGTGCTCGGCCCCTCACACGTGCTCACTGGGGCACACAGGCCCCTCACGTGCTCACTGAGCACACACTCCTCCCCGTGCTCGGCCCCTCGTCCTGCACACGCGCTGCTTTCCTGCACGTGAGCCCCCAGCACGCCCGCTGTCTTCCAGGACTTCGTGTTCTATGCCCCTCGCCTGAGGATCAACAAGCGCATCCTGCAGCTGTGCATGGGCAACCACGAGCTGTACATGCGCCGTCGCAAGCCCGACACCATCGAGGTGCAGCAGATGAAGGCCCAGGCCCGCGAGGAGAAGCACCAGAAGCAGCTGGAGCGGTGAGCGGGGCCCCAGGAAGGCTGGCATCCAGGCCACGGCCTCAGAGCGATCGTGCAGCTCGCCAGCCGTGGCTCGAGGGTGGGCTTTCGGGGGTGAGATGAGCAGGTCTTTCTTCTGTGGACTGTCAGGTGGCAGAGCGCAGATAGCTGGGCTGGGTGTGGAACATGTCCAGGAGAGGTGTGGGACGTCCTGAATGGGGCCCTGGAGCACAGCACAGCAGGGACGCTGCCCCCCGGCTCACCGAGGGCTGGTAGTGAGCCGTCATCGGGTGGGAGCAGGTGTCAGGAACGCCCTGCAGGAGCCCGAGTCCCGGCCTGCGCCCCAGGGGTGAAGACGAAGCCCCTGCCAGGGTCTAAGCCCTTGCCCCACCTTCCTCCTGTCACAGCCAACAGCTGGAAACGGAGAAGAAGAGGAGGGAGACAGTGGAGAGAGAGAAGGAGCAGATGATGCGGGAGAAGGAGGAGCTGATGCAGAGGCTGCAGGACTACGAGCAGAAGACCAAGAAGGCTGAGAAAGGTGAGCCGGCGTGGCCAGGCCCAGGGTCAGGCATTGAGAGAGGA